CCAGAATGAAGTAAACAGACAATTCATAATCGCCTCCACTTCTGGCACCACTTCATCTCTGTTGTTTCCGGCATGACAATCGTCTCGCTTCAGGTACAATGAGCAGATGGACGACAGAGACAGAGACAAGTGGTCGACATCCCTACCACACCAACTGGCAATGTGCGAAACAACCACATTAGGAGCCTGTTGGGGTGATTCGAGCTCATTGTTCACCACCGCGAGAGGAAGGTCCCTACTTCGCCTGAAGTTGCAGTGGTGGTGCCCAAATGACGGTAGAGAAGGAGAGAGACAGAGAGAGACAGAGAGAGAGAGAGAGAGAGAGAGCTGAAGGACGACAACCAAATGGTCTGCTCCATCGTGCTTGTTCTCCTTCCCTGCGAATTTTTTTCCTCCGTTTTGGACGAAAACAGAGCTGGCTTCATGGGTCATCCTATGTGTGAATTCTGCAGAACCCCATTTTATGGAGATACTGAGCTCTACTCACACTGTCACACATATCTACTAAACATTATACATGTCATATATGCCAAAGGTAGACTCTCTTTTCTATTATTACGACGTAATGTTGGTGGTCTTGCAATTCAAAATAACCAAACCATGCATTGAACCATTATATTTTGTTTAATGCAGGCAGCATCCAGGACAATATGAATACTACAAAGATTATGATGACTTTGAGGTGAGATCTCATAACTTGTAATGCATTACACTTTCCAATTTCCATGCTTTCTTAGGATTTTGTCTATGTTAAATTTCTCTTTTACAAATCCATTTCCGCCTAGAGCATTTCCAATGAGGATGAGGCATGCCTTGCTAAAAAATTCATTGTTTTTTGCGTCCGAATCCGATTCGAAGGTGACTTTATTATGGTACCTGAACTTAGCAAATGTGTTCTTTACTGTGACATTTTTCTCAACTTAGCAAATTCATGGTTTCGCCGTGGAAAGGGAAGGGGACGAGGATGTGGACGAGAATTTCGTCCCGATTCCTCAAAATATTAACTCTCACTGGACATTCAAGCCAGTTTTGAAACGACCAATATAGATATGTCAGCCATTGTTGAGCCATTTGAATCAATAACTACAATTGAATCTGAGCCATCTTCAAGACACCTCCAGGCACTTGGCCAAAGCTCTAGGAACACAGCTCTGGAAGAATCCTCCTTTCCTCCTCTTCTCACAGCACCAGGAAGGCATATGCTTGTCATCGGCTGAGTCGTCAGGATGGTGGAAATGGGTTTTTTGGTGAAAAACTCTTTCTAAACCGAAGTGGTACAAGGGAAAAAAACACATCTTTTCTAGACCGGAGTGGTACAAGGGAGTCCGAAGGCAGCTTACTGGTGTACTTCTCCAACTCCGGAGTCCTGAATAAGTACCTCCTCAAAAATTTGCCCTCCTCCCATGGTTCTTCGTAGTCTTCGGATCCCACCAAGACAAGTTGTGGTTTTCCTCAGTTTTTTAGTTAGGATTTTCAACCTGATTTATTGTTTGCCTCATTTCATGGCTGCAGTTAATGAGCTTTTCAGAGATGCTATTGAGTGCATGTAATTGAACCAAAAGGGGTTCTCAAATACATGGTAGAATTGATAATTCAGTAGAAATAAGAGAAGAAACAAAAAAAAAATCAACAAAGAGAATTATAGACGTTTTAAGGGCTTGAATTGCTGAACGTGTTTAGAAGTAATGGAGAGTGAAGGTTTTATTTTGGAAATTCGAAGAAGAATAAAGGGTAAAATAATCTTTTTTGTCTTTCTGTTAACCCATGTAAACAGTAAGGGATGTATTAGTCAATTGTCAGAAACAGTGGATCAATTTTAAAACAGTAAGGGTACACTTGATCAATTAGCTAAACCATAAAGGTAGTCTAAAAAATTTATCCAAAAATCAATGACAAATAGGAAGTGTGAAAAAGCATATCTTTATCCTTAAGGGGAAGGATTACACTACTAAAAGCAATTGTTGGAAACCTAGCCCAATATCAAATGAGCATCTTTGGCTTCCCTAAGGAAACACTACAAGAAAAACAAGCTAAGCCAGCGCTAGCTGAAACGCCGACTTAGACATTAGCCGACGATTAGGTGGCTGCCATTTTCAGTTGCACCACCCTAGGTCATGGATGCCAGCCTAGAAGACAACGACCGTCGTCGTAGGGACCCGGTCCAACCACTCATCCGTTGGCAGTATTTAGAGAACTGCCGGCCCATATAATGTGTGGCAGCGGTCCAAACCGTCAGGATAGGATAGTTAGACAACAGTCTGATTGCCGGCATATTTATTGAGCCGGCAGTCCAAACCGCCAACTTATATTATTTTGTCATTTTAATAAGCCGCCACCCTAGTTAAATTATGTAATCAAATCCGGCCATTTTAACCGCCAGCCTAGACTGAATTGTCATCTAGTTAAACCGCCACCATAAATGCCTTATTTCACCAAAGGTGGTGGTTAGGACCACCGGCATAGACACATTATAAACTGTCATCTTAGATATGTGTTGCTAAAGGTGGTGGTTTCTATGATTGCCGGCTTAGATATGATTTGGCAAAAGTGATTTTTAGCGGCAGTCAAAACTGTAGCTAAAGGTCCCTAAAACTGCCACTAGAAAATTTACCGGCAGCCAACGAACCTTGCTAGATGATCTAGCGGCAGTTTTTGCGGCTGCCACTAAATATATTTTTTCCCATACAATCCATAATTTTTTTTTAAATATTATTCATGCTTTGCTTCAAATAACCTGTTTTGTCTACCTTCATCGAAATTGGAAACTAATGAAAAACAAAAATCAATACAAATGTAAATTAAAAGTCTTCTCCAATCAAAACATTTTTCTACCTAAAAAATTGCAATACATTAAAAGCACAAATTAATACATCTTGGCTTCAAATTGATAGATTCTTTAATACAAATTCCATCATACATTCTCAAAATACTTGATTTACAACTTCTCCCAAGACTCAAGACTTGAAAGGCTTGAAAGGCTTGAAAGGCTTTCCGAGTTATCAAAGACTTGTTGAAACCATAGAAAATCATAGCCTTGAAAGGCTTCATACTACATGAAAGACTTGTTGAAACTACGGTCTGAGGTTTTATCTGTGGCATATTATTGTTGGTTGTGTTATGGCTGCTGTTCCAAGCTGTTGGTACCTCATGGTTGTGTTTACCCTCATATGTAGTTATGATTGCTTTTGGGTCCTTTGAAGCTATCTCCACATGCTTGCGAGCATTACATCCAGCATTTGTGCATTTATAGTAGCTCCTGTTGATAGTAGTGACATGAATAAATATCTTGATTTATGTAAGAGAAATAATTTTCACACAACATACTACTGTCACTTCAATTCAAGTAAGCAAAAAGAACCTCTGAAAAGTACAACGGATAGGAAAGAAAACCTCCACCCAATGAAATAACCAGCACTTTTTAATGAAGTCTTTCTTGAGGGTTCAACAACTTGGGTTGGGTTCAACACAATGCACCCCTAGTTTCAATTCGAACCTTACATCTAAATCCTTTACTTAGAAAAATCTCATGATCAGTATTTGAATCTTACAATTCAATTCGTGAGTCTTACCATTTACATGATTCAATGATTTGAACCAATTCACTTGAGAGTTGAGACCTAGTTCTCTACTCTTCTGTTCATTTGCTTATTTTAGTTTGTTTTTTATAAATAACAGGAAGCTTTCAAAGGAACTTGTTATAAAAACCTTACCAGAATAAGATTTATTTAATTTTTTATAGATTTCTAAACAAACAGAAAAGGTTATTATTATTTTTCTATGGTTTTCAGAACATTGCTTTACAGTCACAGTCAAAAAGGTTGGTGAGGGAAGTGAGATCTGCAGAATCAGAACAGGGAAATGATTCTCATGGTAAAGAACAGATGGGCTAGTTCATTTGTCTTGTTTAGTCCCATGCAAAAAAAATGAAAAGAAATTAAACAAAATAAACAAAACCCATAAGCCTAAGGCACTTGAATCAGAACAAAGACAAATAACAAATTTTATAAAACTTTCCAATTTGATCAACTAGTGTAGAAAACGTGAAGAAATTGAAATAAATAAAAAGAAAAAAATTAATAGTTGGGTCTAAGTGAAAAAAAAAAAAACAAAATACAGGCAACTACACAATAATGGATCTAAACTCCAGTGTGATTAGGCTTTTAAGTAATTAAAGAAACATGAACTGGTTGCTAAACCTTTGTACGCAGGAAAAAATACATATTTATCATTCATGCAGTAGAGAACTAAATGATTTATGGTCATGCCCTCACCAACACATGTTCTTGTTGGTCACTTGAAGTAATCCGATGAGTCAAAAATGGTTCTATATTTGATTCCTTACACAACCCCAAACCCTCATGGTGTAGAGTATTCATTTCAAACAATAAGGGTAATTTGGTTTAGACTTTCAGCTGTCCATTGTTGAGGCAGAGTCAATAAAGCCAGAGATGAAAGCTTTACTTGTTGGGCTTATAGCCACCATGGTCATGGCTTTAAGCCTTTCATCTTATTCTAATTGGAAAGATTCCTCAAACAAATTAGACAGGGGAAAGATTTTGAAAGAAGCCTGTGGATATTGTTTCATGTGCTTAATGAAAATTGGATTCATTAGGTTCTTGCCCTACTTGACTTGAATTCCTAGGGATTGGAATGTTGTTTATCTTTGGTGTAGCAAGAACAGAGGTTAATTGGAAAGGAGTATATAGCATGTAGTCATTGTCATCAAAAGTTTGTATGTATAGCTTCTTCTACGACTCTGCTATAAGAAGCTAGTAATTTTGTAAATTGTTTGTGATCTCCATACTATTACATATCTCCTGAGAAGTACTTAAAAAATCACTTTCCATCTGAAGATGCCAACTCAGATATACAAATAAAAACTTCTAGAATGTCAAGGGCGTTTTCATAGAGATGGCATTATAAATTTATCTTAAATCCATTTGATGAGGGTTAAATGAAAATTGATACCCTTTCCCTGGGCGCAACCCATTTGCATCTCCATACTTGCCATAAGAAACATCCACCTGAAAAAGAATACCTATAATCAGTCATATGAAATTAAGTGCATTCCTGTTGAATTAAATCAACCATACATACTACACTTTTAGGATCAGCAAGCATCGCAAATGTGACATCACAAGATGCAGTGACTTCCTCTGGAGATGATTTATATCTGCAGAAATATAGATGCTTAAAATTAACTGAAAGTTCTGGGTTGAACTCCCTAGAATAGTTTTGGTGATTACAGATCTCGAACAATAGCTACTCTGAAGGTAAATAAGCTCAATAATCCTATCCGCTTGAAAAGAGCCCACTTGTCACAAGAAGCCTAGAACCATGTGAATCAATAATAGCATTTGCTGCTGAAATTTCATTATGATAACAAGATACAACAAACATTTGTAATTCACATTTTCCAGTATTTGCTATTCTTCCTCTAAAAAGGACTCCGGGGTATGAGATAGAAATATTAATCCATATCATGGAGTTAAGTGCATTTAGATCCTATATGTTCCAAGATATTTCAGTCATGCTGAAATCAGTAGGTTGTAACAAGATAATCCAAGATATGTCTTTCCTACTCAATTCAACTTGTTTCAAGTATGAGCAATACCATTTTGAAGAAAAAGAGAAGCATATACTGGATTCAAGTGCCTTGAGAACCTCAAAATAGTATCTATGCAACCAGAAATGGCAGGTTTTCAATATATTCTGAATAGGAAGTGCAATGAAACATCTAACAGGTAATATATGAAAATATCTGCTAATCTAATAAGAAGTTTAATTGGTGACTGTGTGTAAAATTCTGTTGTTTGGTAATATCTAGATTTTGCAGGAAAACCAAAGCACGACATGTATAGCTAATAATGAACTTTATGGCCTCAGAGTGGACATATCTGGCAGTAGAAGCTACACAGATGAAGTAAAGTTGGAATGGCACCCAAAATAAAAGGTTCTCTACTAAACATGAATTCCCACCATTAACTGGTGCATATTACCTGAATTTGATTTCCCCAATATCTATACATTTAATAAGCAAATCCACAATCAAGGTCAAGGAAAATATAAGTACCTCAAGCATAAAAGTGACAGAGAACAATATACTTTGAGAGAAAGAAAAATGTTCAAATGCTGAGGGAAAAAACATAAAATAATCAAAAGGCTTGTAAGCAACCATTTCATTGCCAACTTACTTTGCTCCCAAGCTGATGAGAGGATCACACTTGCTCTTGGTCCTATTCCAAACAGTCACATCACATCTACAACATACAAGTAAAGGAATTAAACTTTGGGAATATCCACTTCCCCAGCTTAGTACCAAACTTGTGAGTAGGAACAAAAATATCATCACAATTCTTGCATCAATACTCTATAATTATAAACAAGATCATAATTTAATGATTTGCATTCCCAAAAATCCATTACTCCAAGTACCATACTCCACAAGTAGAAAAAGAGCCTGTGAACTGGAAGAAGGAAATTTAGGCTCTTAAACGCATTTAAATTTTAAGCACCTTCTTATGCCTTAAGCTCGCAAAATAATTCTTTAAGAGAATATTAATATTTCTCAATTATTGTTCTTACCACTTCATTGAACAATGCACAAATTTAAGATAGCATGTTCTCTAATGCAATTCATCAGTTAAGGTAATCATAACATTTCTATGTTCATCAATCTCCCTGCCAAGTGCATCCAAACGAAGAACAGGAACCTTGGCTGATTTTGGCTGAACAGCAACATCTATTGTCGTATGCCCAGGAAACAAGTGTATCAAAGGTTCAAATTGTGGGTCCTCATGAAATCCCATCTTGGCAGCAAGTTCTTGGGCCCTCTTTACAGCTTCATAGTTGGGTGCTATTAGCCCAGCAAGAGTAACCATGTCAGCTATAGGAAGTTTCACAGATGCAGCAGGTGAAGTAGACACACCTACAACAGCAGTGATAGGTGGTACAAATCCTTGTTGCCTCTCTGTGCTTGACAGTGGGGTTTTTGATGCCTCTTTGTTTAACCCTGGTTGAGAACCTTCAGATATCTGAATTTTCCTATGCACATTGAAAATGGAAGCTATAAATGTAACTACGATAAATCTATCTGGACAACATTGAGAGCCACACATTTTATACCAGACTAGTTGCATGGTGGGATTGCTGAGTTGAACCAGCTTCTAATGAATTCCCTTTTCTAGCTGAGAGAATTTCTGAGAGTGATCATTAACTGAGTCATGAGAGTAATTTACCTCAGATAAGGATGACTGAAGAAAGAAAAGCATCAATAAAGCAAAAAGATGAGCAGCCTTCCATCTTGGAGTTGTTTCTAACATTATGTAGCTGGTTCCACCAATGAAGAAAAATTCAAGGAGTCTTGGTCCTGTGCAATCAAATCTCATAGCCTTAGGAAACCTTCACCTTCAGGACTTGAGGGGGAGCATCTGTAGAATAAAATACTAAGAGGTCATTAAAGTTTCATTATCTATGCATCCTTTTTATTAAATCAAGCATTATCGTTTCACCTTTTATTCTATTCTTTATCAAGGCAAACTTATTCTAACTTGCAAGCTTATTCTAAAATCTAAACAATACATTCATGCAGAAGTGGCCATCATCATTCAAGTAGGGATTCTTTAATTCATAGGGCATAGAAATTATGATGTTTTCTTTGAGTAAAAGGTTGCAAGTGACAACTCTGCAAGTTTGGTGAACAGTAATCTGATTACCATTACCTCTCTATAAATATATCTTGTACCCCATGTTTTAAGTAGAGAATGAACTGCAATGAAGTTCACTGTCTTGCCTTAATAAACAATTCTATAAAGTTTGAAAACTAAATAACACGATCAGAACTGCACTGTCTTCCCTTAATAAACAAATTCCCAAACATTTAGCCAAGTTTCTTCAAATACTTGGCTAGGGTTCTTGAAGCCCATATTACTTAATCCAAAGGTAATGTCTTAACCATAGTCTGGATTACAACTCAACAGTAACAAAAGATAGGTGTATAAACATATCCTAGAAATTTTAACCACTGAATATAGGTGTATTAACATATCTTAGTTAATTGGACCAGAATCGAACATCAAGACACTAATTTTATAAAGAGATGAACAAGTTGGTAAATATTTCATAGAACCTGAAAGTATTCATTAGTGCTAAGCTCAAAAGAGAATTGCAAACATTTGTTTTCAGTGGCCATGTTTATAACTATATACTAGGATTCAATCCCAAATCTCAGGTTTGACTCAAGACTATCAAACAAGGAAAGAAGTGTTATGGACACACCACCCGGCAGCACACTGCGGCGCAGTCATAGGCAGCAGCACACACAGCGGGCCGCTCAGCAGCACACACCACCCGGCAGCGCCGCACAGCAGCCCGGCAGCGCACCGCACGCACTGCCTGGCAGCGTGCAGTACGCACCGCCCGGAAGCGCCCGGCAGTGTGCAGCACGCAGCATGCACCGCCCGGCAGCGCGCAGCACGCACCGCCCGGCAGCGCGCAGCATGCACCGCCCGGCAGCGCGCAGCACGTACCGCCCGGCAGCGCGCAGCACGCACCGCATGGCAGCAACACTAGGCAGTAACACGCACCGCACGGTAGCAGCACGCACCGCACGGCAGCAGCACGCTCCTCACGGCAGCAGCACTGCGAGACGCGCACACCGCCCGACAGCAGCAGTAGGGCAGGGCCCACACTTATCTTACCACATCAGCTCTACCCGCCAACTCGCCGCCAGCTACACCATTCCTCATCTCTTATCCTTATCCTTATCTTATCTTAAGTAAGAGTTGTGTTACCATTAAGAGTAGGTAATTAGGAGTTTGAGTTTAATTAGAAATTTCCTTCTGTAAATCTCCTATTTAAGGAGCCACGAATTGAAATAAAGGCATTCAGTTTTCCCAGTCAAGAGAAGAGTAAGGAAAGTTCGGGTGGTCTCTTGGACAAATCACCCATTCGGTTTTCCACAATAGGTTCTGCACGCAAGGGAAAGCAGGGCTTTCTCCCCGTGGACTGACCCGTGACGAGATCCTACGCGTGGGCCCACACCAATTTGGTATCAGAGCCTACCGTCATGGGGGAACAGGAGTCGCTGTCTTCCAGGGTCCACGAGCTAGAGCATAGGCTCGCCGAAACCTGCTTGGAAGTTCGTGAGGTCAAGGATGATGTCCGGGAGCTGCGACGCCTGCTGGAAGCGTTCCTCTCCAACAAAGAAAGAAGCTCTGAGGGAACCGCCACCACCAATAGCCGCCATCCGGATGGGGCGGAGATGGCCAGCGAACAGCAGATCGCTGCCCCAACAGCCACTGTTATTCCCAAGTATAACCGGTTGGAATTTCCATCCTACAACGGCGCTGGAGACCCACTGGGATGGTTGCACCGCTGCGAACAGTTCTTCCGCAACCAGCGCACCGATGACAGGGACAAGGTCAGCTTGGCCGCGTTCCACCTAACCGAAGAAGCGCAGCTCTGGTTCTACCGAGTGGAGCAGGAGGAACCAGGTCTTAGTTGGGGCAATTCAAGTCATACTGCCTCCTTCGGTTCGGACCCCCACTAACAAACAACCCCTTGGGGGAACTCATTAATCTCAAGCAGACCGGTACCGTAGCAGAGTATCAGCGGCAGTTCCAGACCCTTCTCGCCAGGGCCTCTTCAGTACGCCCAGACCAGTAGGTGGATATGTTCATAGCTGGTCTAGCCGAACCCCTGAGAGTTGATGTAGAGATGCAGAGCCCGCCTAACCTGGTCACGACAATGAATTTAGCCTGAGCCTTTGAGCGCAAACTGCAGATTAGCCGAGGGCCGTTCAACATGGGATGCCCAGCAGTGGCCTGGACAAACCCGAAGCCTACTGGAGGAGGGTCTTCGCTGGCAGCCAACAGGGAACCACTCGGAATGGCTCCATATCTAGCAGCTAGCCCAGAACGGAAGCCACAGATGAGCACCAATTCTAGATCAGCATCCAGTGTGGGGAGCAGCAGCGGTACACCCCCTATTAAGCACTTGTCCAGGGCTGAGATGGTAGAACGCAGGGCAAGGGGGCAATGCTTTAATTGCGATGAACTCTACTCAGCAGGGCACAGGTGCAAGAGACTTTTCTGCCGCTTGATGAAACAAGAGGAAGATGAGGACGAACCCCCTCCATGGGAACCCGATCCAGGAGGGCAAAGCCACCCAGGATTCCTTTGAGGGTGTTTTCGACACCCAATTCGAGCTTGAGGACAAGCTCGTAGTCCGGGAGGGGTGTGATGTTATGGACACACCACCCGGCAGCACACTGCGACGCAGTCATAGGCAGCAGCACACACAGCGGGCCGCCCAGCAGCACA